TTTTATTATAATTTAATTTAAGTTTAATAACGAAATAATTTATTTTTGGTTTAATAATATAACATTTTATAAAGATAATAATTAAGTATTCTGTTAAAACTCAATGATTATCCTAATTATTATAACACTCTCAAATTCATACATTTCATATAACACATATTTTATACATAGAATACATGTTTTCCCCACATAGGTCTAGAATACAAGAGTCTATAATGTACAACACATAATTCAAAAATTCCAAAGTACATGCTTTTTATCCTAGCATCCAAGCTTCAAAACATAGCAAAGCACATAGGAAAGTAATTCACAAAATGCTATTGTCATTATTATCATTACCTGCACACATATTTTTGAAAACACGAAATGAGGGTTAGGCATAAATGTTTAGTGAGGTTCCTTTTTATGTAATGCAAGATGAAGATCACCAAAACATTTATTTCAAATAATCCATCTCATGTAGTAAGGACTGAAAATCATATTATGTTTTGGTTCATCGGGCCTCTGGTTCCAAACCATACTTGAAATATATTTTAATAAACAGGACCAGAGCCCCTCTGGTTAGAGCTTCTATTTCCTCGACCAGGGCCTTTGGTTGTACTAACCAGAGCCTCTGGTTGTATTAACCAGAGCTTCTGGCTCATATAATTTATTGTAATGTTCTTGAGTTAAGCTTCCAATCAATAAGATAGTTTTTTTCACAAAAGAATGGTTATACAGAGTTCTTATTCGACCAGAGCCTCTGGTTACTAACCAGAGCTTCTGGTTCAATAGTTATGACCAACCAGAGCCTCTGGTTCAACGTGTGAGTCGACCAGAGCCCCTCTAGTATATTTTTAGTAGAAAAATAATAAGTATAAATCCCTTTCTCTTAAACCTTCTTAAAATGCAAATGTTGACACAGAAGCTCTTATTAATAGATGTAGAGCCTCTGGTCCAATTAATTTATTAAAAACAAGCATACTTCTTAAATCAAATAACAAGAATCCTCTGGTCCAATAGTGAGGACCAACCAGAGCACCTCTGGTTCCTCTTAAAATGTACATTCTATTCCAAAACGCTCTTTAGCCAAAATTAATAACCATAGGCCATATTTTCCCATAATCATAACATCAATACTATCCAATAAGAACATCTCTGAATCATCAAATCACCAAGAAGAGAGAACTCCAATCTGTTGTAATCTTAATAGATATAATAGTAAGAGTTATACCATGCACGCACACACAACGACCATCATTATTACATCCATAAATCCCCTGTTTATAGCAATAGCTATCCATCACACACAACGACCATCCTTATTTCCCCTGAAATTTGTATGAACTATTTCATCCAATGACAGACTGCAGACCTTTCTGTCAGAGCGAATCTCGTTCATAGTTTTTATTCAATCATAAACTCAAAACATGTTTATATTCAAACCTTCCAAATCATAAGAACACTCTATTCTATATATGATTGTTCAACTCCTCTAGTTCTTCCCCAAACAGGGTATTGTTTCAAAGCTGTTTCTAAAAGAACAATTTATGCTTACTCTTTTCAAAACAGATTTCAAATCTTTGAATCATAAAACATTTCTTTCAAAACTGTTTATAAGATCAAACAGCAGATTAAAACTCACGGTTGCAATCAAAAGTTTATTTAAAACTCACAGTTTGCAAGTAACAGTAATTAAAAATTCACAGGTCATATCAATACAGTGGTTAAACTCACCTTAAAATCGAATATCGATCCTGCAGATAATAATACAACAATTCTTTTTAAAACACAGATTCTTTCTCCAAGAACACCTTCACCGTCTTTAAATTTCTCCCTTTCTTAAAACACTCACTTTTCTAAAAATAGAAAGCATGTGAGATTTTTACCCTATCTTATTTCTTTTATACTTTAATGAGGCAGTGATGGGTATTTTATTCAATATAAAGAACTTTAGACGGTGAAGATATTATTTTTAAAACTAGACATATCTTAACCATGAAGTATAGGGTTTTGATATATATAATATTCTCTTATCACATAACCGCTTATATTTATATAATACTTTCACATGTATGCATACTATCAATTTACCACACATATACATATAACTCATGCAAGTATTATCGTAATTATACATGTTATCACATAATTTACATAATGAACACATAAATTTACCTTAACCCAAATTTGTAGAAAACTCGGTTATAACAATTATATTTTAAATTTTTTATATTTAAAATAAGATGTTTATTCTGTATTTGATTATGTTTATCTGCAGTTAGTTACTTTAATAAGCTGTACTTACGCACAATCTACTTGCAGTCTTGAGTTTTAAGTAATATGCATTAATAAACAGTACTTTATACATAAAAAATGGTTTTTAATAGTTTTTATCAAATGCTTTATAATATAGTATAGATATTTAAAATTTCTCATTTTTTATGTAATTTCTTTAATTTATTTTTTTATTATAATTTAATTTAAATTTAATAACGACTTAATTTAATTTTGGTTTAATAATATAACATTTTATAAAGATAATAATTAAGTATTCTGTTATAACTCAATGATTATCCTAATTATATTTTAGATTTTTTATATTTAAAATGAAATGTTTATCCTGTATTTGATTATGTTTATCTGCAGTTAGTTACATGAATTCAGATATGAAGCTTTAATAAGTTGTACTTACGCTCAATCTACTTGCAATCTTGAGTTTTAAGTAATATGCATTATTGAACAGTACTTTACGCATAAAAAGCTGTTTTTAAGAGTTTTTGTCAAATGTTTTATAATATAGTATAGATTATATTATTAAACCTAAATTAAATTTCTTTGTTACTAAACCTAAATTAAATTATAATTATAATTTTGAATTAAGAAAATTACACCAAAACACAAGAACTTTTAAAAAGGTTAATTTGATACTGATATCGGTATATTTTTTTTTTCAAAATTTTATAATATTTTCAAAATTATATTTTATTCAAAAATAAAAACATTATCTATTTCTCAAAACCACATAAAACCGTATTATATCGACATAAAAAAGGAATAAAACGAAATATTTAAATCAAGATATATCTCGATGCATTACACGAGTACCCTTCTAGTATATTATAAAACATTTGATAAAAACTCTTAAAAACCATTTTTTATGCATGAAGTGTTGTTTGCTAATGCATATTACTTAAAATTTAAGATTACAAGTAAATTACACGTAAGTACAACTTATTAAAACTCTATTTTTGAATTTGCATAACTAAATGCAGATAAAAATAATCAAATACATGATAAACATATCATTTTAAATATAAAAAATTTAAAATATAAATTAGAATAATCATTATCTTTATAAAATTTATCACTACCAAAAAACCCACTTTTTCCGGCGGCCAAATCCGCCGGAAATCCGTCGGAAAT